ATGGGCCCAGAGTGGGGCGAATGAGGGTGGGGGCAGGTGTAGGTGCTTCACCTACCCCACCCACATTTTTGATGTTGTCGATACCGGGGCTTTAACCGGTGATCTTCCGATCACAGGCCCACCTTCTGTAACTTCTGCACCACCACTCCCCTTACAACACCCATGTTGTAGTTTACCATTTTCTCTTTAGGACCTTGTAAATATAATTACTTTTTCACTTTTTTGTACTTTTTTTTGTACCCTTATTGCATGCTTTAGTATTTGTTTGTTCTTTGTTTTTGTTTTTTTAATTGAGTCAAATCTGTTCTTCTCATCCTGAGCATTTCATTGTACCGTTAGCCTTGCATATGACAAACTCAACTTAAACTTCCATCCATCCATATCTTTTACCCGCTTCTTCCATTTTGGGTCATGGGGGTCGCTGATGCCCATGTCCAGCAATCACTGTGCGAGGTACACCCTGGACGGGTCGCAAGTCCATCACAGGGACACAGAGACAAACGAGACAAACAACCATTCACTCTCTCACTCACACCTAGGGACAATTTAGAGTTACCAATCAGCCTAACATGCATGTTTTTGGTCTGTGGGAGGAAACCGGAAAACCCGGAGAAAACCCACGCATGCACGGAGAGAACATGCAAACTCCACCCAGAAAGGCAATCGGACCGGGATTTGAATGGGGACCAGCTCCCTGCCAACTTGACATGGACAATATATGGCCCATGGGCAAAATTTGGCACTTGGAAAATCTCCATCTGGCCTCCCAAATTCTTAATTTGGGAAAGAAAAAAAAAAAACTTTTTTTTTTTTTTTAAATTGATGAAAACCTGCATTTTACCACTGAAGCATAATGAAGTAAAAATTAAACATCTTGGACCAATACAATGAAAACCCACAGCATATAGGCTAAAACTTTATTTGAAGTTGTGTTTTCAGAACAAGACTGAACCTTAAAAAGACTCCAAACAAACAAAACCAACTTTTTTAATTTGCATATTTATGTTAGTGTGTAGTCACAAGAACTAGTTTACAGAAAGTATGTCTAAAAATAAAGTATGTCTTGTGTTCCTAAAGAGCACTGGGAACACATTTTTATCAAGCATGCCATCTACGCTACAAGAAAGTCCACCAGATCATCAGTTCTTAAGGGAATTTATTTTTCAATTTTCTATGTGGCCCTTTGATTTCTTTAAATATCTTGATTTGGCCCTCTGAAAGAAAGGGTTGCCCACCCCTGATTTAGAGTTACCAAATAACCTTGCATGGTTTCGGTCTGTGGTAGAAAACCAGAGTACCTGGAGAAAATCCCTGCATCCTCAGGGAAAACATGCAAAATCTACACAGAAATGGGAAGGAAACAAACCTGCGACCATCTTGCTGTGAGGCAACAGCTCCTTCAACTGGAATGTGATGCCGCCCCAAGTTTGAAATGTTACGAGCGCAAAATGTGAAGTCCGTTCATGTTTATGGGTGCAAAAACTGCAGACAAATATTTTCTATACCACCTCTGCCAGAAAAAGGCACTGCATCCATCCTTTCATCAGCATAGTAATAAGCTTCTACACACCGGGAGATCATAGCATTGGACATGGACTTAGCTAAAACTTTAATGCGAGTTTAACTAACAAACAAACAACAGATCTTTAAGTGGACATCTGAGAGCGTTTGTGCACAGAAAGTCTTGATCTGGTCTCTCTCTTCACAGCACATTGAACACAAGACAGTGCCTCATAAATGAAAAGAAATGTTTTAGTCTGGTGATTCTTCTTTTTACTGTAAGGGCACTCTTTTGTCTCATGCCATCTTAAATACTGACGGACCAAGAGAGAAAACAAGAATTACTGGCAGAAATTCTGAATTTTCAACTGTGCGTGTATGCATCTTTGAATTTGTGTGGCCACTAGTTTGTAGTACAATAAAAGATAAACCCCTTCATAAAATCTTAAGTTTATAATCAACAGCAGCCAGTAAGAATTTCACAGACCAAATCAGATAACTCAAAATCTTAAAAAAAACTATTTGCAATAAATAGAAGGAAATACAGAAGTGTCGATGTAAGAAAAATAAATCCTAAAGAGATAAAGAGACAACAGAGACATGCTGACAGACTAAGAAGAAAAGGAGGGAAGACATTAAACAAAGAAAACGGTAAAAAGAATAGGTATTATCGAGAAAGACTGTAGACTTACACTGCTTAACGTTTAATGGGAATATTTTCCGTCCCTTTGGGACTCAGCCCCCGCCTTCATCACCTTCATCTTTTATCTCTTCCCACTCTTCATGGTTCTTGTTGGTTTTCTGCCTTGCATTTGTCAGGTTTTAATATTTAAAAATGAGTACAGACTTTATGAGCCATTGCTTTGCTGAAACAATATGGTCACTAAATCAAATTAAAAACTTTAGATGATAGAAACACTAAAAAGAACTTGCCAGTATTCCTTATGTTGAACTGAGTGCAGCTACATTCCTGTCTTCTTTGATATGAAGCAGCTTCTTAAAAACACGTCTTCGTTTACACACACAGACACATAATTGTGAGTAAGCACATTTTGTGCATTATTTCAAAAAGATTATCAGCCTGTGAAAATGCCAGATGCTTGCTCACATCCAGCAGCATTTGTCCATATATGTGCACGCACACACACAAATCATCACCTTCCTTTGCCTTTCAACAGAAGGCAATACATTTTTAATGTGGTCCTCAAACCCTATATTAAATGTTATATTAAATTTTATTTTATAAAAAGCCCACTTTGTAGAACCACTGCCTTATCTACTGTCTTTAAACAAACACTATATTTTTACCTCACTAGTGACATCCTGAACCTTCAGTTGCATCAACGTCTTACAGTTTGAACCCTGCACAATTATTTAAAAATATGAATCATTATTTTGATCAAATAAAGTTAGAGTGACCAGAATGAGATGGTTTGGACATGTCCAGAGGAGGGACAGTGGGTATACTGGTAGAAGGATGTTAGAAATGCAGCTGCCAGGAAAAAAGACAAAGAAAAGACATATGGATGCAGTTAGAGAGGACAAGGAGGTGGATGGAGTGAGGACAGAGGACGCAGAGGACAGATGGAGGATGACTCGCTGTGGAGACCAATGAAGAGGGAAAAGCCGAAAGAAGAAGAAGAAAGATGATCATAATCAGATTTGTTGAAAATGATTATTAATTTAGTTTGGAAACATTTAATTAATTGAACTTGAACAAAAGTAAATTGCTTTGAAAATGAATTTTTCCTTACATTTCTGTTACACATTCCCCTAAAATAAAAAATTATATTTAATTAAATGTAAGCTACTGTATAAAAATTAACACAAGTAAGTAACATCAGCACTAGAGTGCACTTCCATTCAGTTGTAGACCTTACAATCCCCACTCCCCCAGCACACAATTTTCATTAGTATTTTTCTACGTGTAATGCTTATGGCTAACCTTTATGAATATTGAACATTTTTAACAAAAATACAGCTAAATGTTTTACAGCAATACATGTTACACTGATACAGAGTACCTACCTGAACTTATCTGATATACATTAAGTACCCTGTACATAAAGGGCTGAATTATATATTGCAGTGTACTTGCTGCTTATATGGTACAAAATGGGTACCTTACTACAAAGCTGGTACTTTGCAGGTAGACATCTGGTAAGTACCCTGAACGTACCAAACAAGTACAAGGTACAAACCTGATTTGAAGCAGGTATATACTCAAAGTACAGGGTAGCCAGTCACTTCATATTGTAGCTGGGTGCCCATAGGTATCATGCAAGTACCAGGTATATACTAAACTGTTTAATGTATTGTTAAAGAGTTTCAGTTCAACAGAACCTCCAGAGCTTAGTAAAGCATCCAAAACTCAGCATATAGGGTCTAAATAGTTGATAAACAGTCTTTTTGTTTAAAAAAAAAAAAAGTTCCTCACGTTTGTTTCATACGAGTAAAAAAACAGTCCTTGCTTTTGTATAATTAAAATGTTTCACTCATAAACCTCAAATTCACTCTGACATTTCATATTTATTACAGCTAACAGTATAAAATGTAGCACTAAAACTGCTCTTTTGAACTTGATGATTTTTAGGATGATAGTGCCTGAGACTTTAGTCTGGTTTTGTTGACAACAGCTTGTTTGTCTCTAAAGTTCAGCTGCAGCTTTCAGCTTCGATAACTCAGAGTTAACAGGCTATAACCAAACGGTTAGTTTTCAATATGATGAGGGTCTGCACTAAAGGTTTACAAAGGTAAACACTACAAAATGAGTGCAATAAAGTGAGGTAATGATTCTGAAGCAAAATGCTGATACTCAGGACGCATTTTTCCAGTGTCTGTCACCACGTGGTGGACCACAGCAGCTCTGACTGTATATATCATATGTGTCAAACTCAAGGCCCGGGGGCCAAATGTGGCCCTCACTGACATCTTATCTGGCCCTCAAGATGATACAGTATGTGGAACATAAAATACTTCTATCTCTTGATTTTTTTCAGTTTTCTTTGATTATGATGTCGAAAGCACAACAGAAAACATCAAATGAGACAAATCAAACTGTTGTTGAGGAACCTGTGACCAAGAAAAGATGCTGGGTATCTGATTTGAGTTAATGTGGTTTCTGAAATTGGCCCTTAGTTTGAAAAAGGTTTTGATTTTGGCCCCTTTTGTAAGGGAGTTTGACATCACTGGTATATATGAAGAATAACTTACTGTGGGCCACCAGAACACCTGCTACAAACACAGGAAATAATATGAGCAGTCCTTTAATATCTAAATGACTCAAACAAACGTTGCCACACTTTGCAGACTGAAACAGCATTTATTTGTCTTGTGAAAGACGTAATTTATAGACCACCATCCTCCCTGAAGAGACATGTATACACAATAAAATGCCTGCACTGACACAAGAGCTGCAAACCTGAGTAAAGAATCAAAAATGACAACCTGACATCAGAAAAGCAATCAGCAGCAACGCATCCAGTTAGAAGATATCCAGCTCAGCTCTTACCGGAGTTCCTGCAATCGTCTCCTTGCTGAGGAACTTGGACAGAAAATGCCAGCAGGTCAGGAGCCAGTAAAGATTCAGGCTTGCGAATCTCATTCAGCCAGCGACTCGTATGAAGCTCTTTGGTGTCAGATGGGCCCTGGATTAGAGGAACCAACTTTTCCTTTACTCCTTCTCCTGAACCTAAAAGACAAAAGTTTTCATTGTAAAATATCTCCTAACCTGTTTTTTTCTTTGTATTTGGTCAATTATGAATTATTATATTTCTGTTGATCTGGTTTTTGATGCAATGATTTATTTCTTCACTTTTACATCAAACTGTTTTAAGTCCTTGGTTCTACAACATCATATCCCTGCAGAACTGGCACTGCAACTAATATAAGCAGAATTAACCAAAGTGAAAGGGTTCAATGGCCTTTCATTGTTTGTACAATTTTATGAAAGAGCAGATGGAACAACAACACTATGAAGAACAAGGCCAGAGGGCACCGACAGCGAGTCTGCTAGTGTCAAAGTTTTAAATGTGTAAAATGTTTACTGGAAAAAACAATTAAAAAACAGTTAAAGAAAAACCTTTCTATATCTGTGGTGGTGAGTTTGCTTCTGTACAAAAAACATGTTTATATTGTTCAATAAATCTGATAGATTAAGAATTATGGAAATTAATTGCACGTGCGTTTCTGTCTTTGCATTTCTACTATTAGACCGTCGTGAGACAGGTTAGTGTTCCCGTACTGATGATGTGTTGATGCAACAGGAATCCTGCTCAGTACAAGAGGAACCGCAGGTTCAGACATTTGGTGTGTGTGCTTGGCTGTGGATCCAATGGGGCGAAGCTACCATCTGTGGGATTATGACTGAACGCCTCTCAGTCACAATCCTGCATAGACGCAACGATACCCAAGTGCCGCGGATCCTTGGTTGGTCTAAGACAGCTGGCTCCGGCCAGTGCGGAGAGCCTCCCGCAACCAGGACGAGGTGCGGCCTCATCGAACGTGCACTGCACGAGGGTGAGGTGCTCAATGACTCGCAGGACCAGATTCTGGGTCGGGGTTTCGTAAATAGCAGAGCAGCTCTCTCGCAGCAATCTACTGAAAGACAGTCCACGATCCAACTTTAGTGGGCAGCTATGGTTGAGTGGTTAGAGCAGTTGACGTTCAATGGGAGAGCTGGGGGTTCGATTCCACCAGCAGTCACATGCTGAAGTGTCCTTGGGCAAGACACTGAACCCCTCATTGCCTCTGATGTGTGTCCCATCAGTGTATGGATGTGATAAAGCTCTGATTATTCTTTGTACATTCATAGTAGAGTGAATGGGTAAATGAGGCCACAAGTTGTGTTGTAAAGCACTTTCAGTATCCAACAATTTTCAGTCAGGTCGTCTGGACAGTTTTTTTTTTTTGTGCTGAAACTTTTCACCTGACTGACAATTGTTGGATGGTATACCTGAATTATTGAGCATGGACTTTGTTGGTTTTGAACCAGTTTGACATGACTGTCGACGAGGAAGAGGGCTGGCACCAGAGGAGGAGGCGTGCCAAAGAGACCGTCTTAGCACCAACATAACTGGTTTGTTCCACTTTGGAGTAAGCTCTTGGGGGAAGAATCAGTTTTGTGTTGTGTGTTTCCTTGACTGATGAAGCCTTCTGGATGGAAGGTGAAACGTTTCAGCACAAAAAAAAAAAAAAAAAAAAAAAGAAACCGTCCAGATGACTTGACTGAAAATTGTTGGATTGTATACCTGGATTATTGAGCCTGGACTTTGTTCACTGAGTATCTTAATAACATACAAATGTGCTATACAATACAGAACATTTACCATTTAATCATTCACTATTATTGAATTAATAATTACAGCTACCTTACATCCAGTCTGACAAACATCGTGAGCAGTTTGACCCTGTGAACTCGTCGCTATGACACTAGTTCAATAAAATCTTTACTGTCAAAGACATCACCATAGCTCAGTGACAACATCCCAAGAAAAAAACAGCAGCTGAATCAGATAACTGGAAAGGAACCAAGATTTACCATGAGCAGGAGGAATGGAGAGACAGAGTGTAAGAAAGTATGACTTCAAGAAAGTCAAAGAAGAGTCTAGTCTGTCTCACTCTTTCCCTCCTACACAGGCAGTAAAGTTTTAACAGGGCACAGCTGTACACACCTGGGGTCCTGGCGCACACTTTTACAGCTCCCACAGTTCCCGAGGCACATTTAACCATCGCACGGCTGCAGAACTTCAGCTCCAGGTTTTGGACCAAGCCTTCAAGAGTCGGTGACGGGCCTGGATATTTCACACCTAATAAAACAAAAGAGAGAGAAAGAAAAGTGAATATGAACTGCAGTCCGACAACTTTAAAACACTCCTTCTGTGGCTTCGTTAAACACTTAATTAGCTTTAAATTGCTCTGGAACAACAATATTGACAAAAAGAAGGCATCAAAATGAACCGACTCACACACAAGGTTAAGAAAATGTATTTTACAAAAATCATGCAAGATCTTCTGTGCTCAGTTTAATGGTAACGATGGTTTCAAGCAAGAACTGTGTAGGTCTTTTAAGAAGTAGTTGTCTTAATAGTAGTTTATTGTGGAAGGATTTTCTGGCATCCATCTTTTTATGATGTGTTTGTGTGTGTAGGGGGATTAATGGGTATGCATAAAATAATAATAAATTGGTGTTTTTTATGTTTGCAGACCATTCGGAGCACAGAAGGGAGAAGGTAGAAAACAAGCAGGCTGACTGAAAAACATTATGGAGTAAAGGAAGTTCTGTGCCAAGCAGCCTGTTGAGAGGAGCGAGGAAGATCCATCCATCAGCTGACACATTCTTCCATTGAGCTAAAGACTGGCCAAGAGAATGACACTGAATTCTTACATCATCTGCTCCAACAAGGCTTTACAAAACAATCTTCTTACAGCAACGCTGGTTCATTTCCGACAAGTGCCCTCAACCATTTTTATCCAACCTGGTTTACAATATGTGGATTTTACACTATTTTGCCATCACGTGCTTTTCATGAGACAATAACTATGGTTGTTTTCACACCTGATAGTCTGGTAGACTTGGTTTGATTGGGGACCAATATTCAGAACATTTGTTTACATTTTCAGCTGATGCGGTTCACATTAACACTGCACTGAGTCAATCGAGCCAACCTGTCCCCCCCTCCCCCCTCCCCTGTGGTGGCGCTGCACCAAAAACTACTGAAGGAAATGACACAAAAACCTCTGAAGAAGACACTGAGCACAGCTTACTTCAGGAAGTAAAAACAAAAATGGAGTGGCGTCAAATTTTAGCGGTTTTAGGATTTCTGTTTCGTCTGGGGCTCATGTGCCAAACAAACATTTTTCAACAATGGACTCAGCATGAGCGGAAGATGAGGCAGAAGACCATGGAGAATGTTTTTCACACAAGGTGGCTGACAGCTCCGTATGAGGTAAGAGAAATGCGTATTTGTTTTGGTTGTATTTACACAGCATGCCCTGCACTGTAGTCCCCAGCATGGTTCGAATGCATTGTGGTATCGGTTGAAGTGAAATCTATAGATTTATAGATTTCATTTCAACCGGACCGAGACCTAGGTTTTTAGGTGGACCAGGGTTCGCTTTTTTGGTTCGCATCAGAGTTCGATTGCACGTTCACACCTCCCCACTTGAACCGGACTTCCTAGGCAAACGGACTAGAGTTTGATTAAAGCGGACTAAACAGGGCTGATGTGAATGCACCGCCTCTCCGTGCATACGTGGGTTTTCTCCGGGTACTCCGGTTTCCTCCCACAGACCAAAAACATGCAAGTTGGGCTGATTGGTAACTCTAAATTGTCTCTAGGTGTGTGTGACAGAGTGAATGGTTGTTTGTCTCGTTTGTCTCTATGTGTCCCAGTGATGGACTTGTGACCCGTCCAGGGTGTACCCCGCCCCTCGCACAGTGATTGCTGGACATGGGCACCGACGACCCCCGTGACCCAAAATGGAAGAAGCGGGTAAAAAATAATGGATGGATAGAAAATTGACATTTACCGTTATTTATAAAATGGTTACAAAAAAATATGTGCATCTGTAGAAATGCATTATTTTCAAATTCTTGAGTTTGTTTTTAGAATTATAATACTGTCAGACATTTATAAACTTTACAAGTAAAAACATACAAAATGCTACTAATGTAAAATATCTGTACTGGATGTGTTTTATAAAAACAAGGTAGAATTACTGTTGCATGTTCGCCAAGTATGTGATTCTCTGGGTTACAGACTTTTCTAAAAGCAGCTTTAAGTCAATCACTCAAGTTAATGAGATGAGACAGCAGGTTTGGTTAGGGGCACACCTCTCCATCAATACAGCAAGCTCATTATTAGTTCTTCCTTTTTTTTTTTTTTTTTTTTTAAAGAGTGTAACAAGAAAAAAAATGTTTTCAGTCCAGCACAAGTATTTCCAAATAACCTGTGTGTTTACACTCAGGAGAAATGTTCTTGCATGAAAAGGGTGAATCCTTGAGCTGTTATGTAAAGACTAAACAAAAATAGTGAGAAAAAGGTTATGGCAGGTTTAAGGTTTAAAAGGTTAATTTCTAAGTGAAGCTCTGGACCACAAAGATTTAGCAAAAACACCATGGTTCCTCTGACCATGAAGGTAGAAACTTGTCTTGAATTTCAAAGAGTTCCAACCTCACATTAAATGTTATTTATCGTTTAGAACTGCGCCTTTCAACCAAAACATTAAAAAATGGATAGTTTTAAAGGGAACAAAAACGTAAATTCCCCACTCATCACTACTTAGGTCTCACCAGAAGCTCCCGTAAACATCTGATGAAACTCGTGAAGGTTTGTGTAGATTTCATCTGTAATACAAATGCATTTTTATTGTTGGCCTGAGAGTGTGTGGATAAAGGCAGGATTTGAGTAGTCACATAAATACCACACTTAAGCACAGGAATTACTGGAAATTGCTAAAATCCCTAACCACCAACTTCCCTTCTCCCTCTCTTTGAGACAAATTACCAATCAACCTCTTCACCTGCTGTCTGAGAGGCCCTCTACAAGCACAGATGGAAGATGGTAACGTTAATAACCCTCCTGCAGACTCTCTGCCACACAATATATCTGCAGGTCAAACAGCAATGAATGTCTCTCTGTGGCTTTGGAAGCTGACGTCTCCAACAGTTTCCTCTGTTTTTATGGTTGAGGCAGGTGGTAGATCAATTCTTGTGTCCTTATGTTTTATTAAAGTTTGAAAGAATCCTGTGTGGAATATTGTATATTTATCAGAACCTCCTACTTACAAGGCAGTCCAGTTAGTGGACCGATTCTATATCACATGTATATCCCAACTAACTACTGCTGTACAAAACAAACTTAGCATCATAAAAGTAAACAAACTCAATGTTGCATTGCTCCGTAAGGGCCGATATCAATAAAGTCCAAGCACATAAAATAAAGAATTCAAATCAATTTATTCTTGAGTAATCCTATATTTGTACAACAGTTCAGGCTTTTGTTCTTGACATATATTTGTCAAATAAAAGTCTGTGTTGCCATCTTAAAAAAAAAAGCTAATAATATCAATGCATTACAGATAAGTATTTTCCATAAATCTTTTAGAAGTTCTATGTCATGTAGGACCAGAGGGAAAGATGGGAGAAATGCTTAGGTATTACATTAAGATCTATTCTCTTCTCCCCTGGAAACTATATAACTACAGAGATTTTTCATATAATGTCTGCAACAGACATTTGGCTACATTATTAAGTGTTTCCCAGTGAACCTAAAAAGCGCATGACATGTCTAAAATAAATGCCCAGAATATCATTTAGAATAAATATTGAGATACGGTGACCAGTTGTCCCATTTCAAAACAGCACTGAAGGGAAAATGAGAGCAAAAGTGATGAGTGGGCCATGCACATAAACTGATGGTTCCCAAGAGTCTGGAAAAGATGGAGATGTAAGTGCAAGCCAATCTGGAACATGACAGGGGCCGTTCCTTCCACTCTGCTCTTTGATAAATAGCACCAGGGGTATCGCTAACATATCCCGTTTGCCCACGTAGATGTCCAAAAGGGCACGTTGCACCTGCTAAGATGGTGGTTGTTGCACAGAGGGCAGGGGGTCTTGAGAATGTTATGTCCAGCTGTTAGACTATAAAACTGTGGGGTGTACAGAATAAGTGAAAACACAAGGGGTGGTAAGTTTGTCAGCTTGAACAATGGTATTTTGTGTCTTTTATGTGCGTAAGGTGCATTTGCGCATAACGCAACCAGGCGTGAGTGTGTGTGTGTGATTAAGTGACCGAGTGAGTGAATGTCTATGGAGCTGTTACTCGTCAAGCAAAAGCAGGTGCAAGAAGTTCATAAACACACAGCTAGAGGTCAGAGGGCACGCCACTCCATCAAACACTAAGAGGGCAACAGCCAAACCTAAAAACTTGTGTGAAATGTTGAGACAATGAAGAAAAAGTGTGACACGAGTCAGTAAAGCATTATTAAAGGGCAGAACAATCTGAAAAAGACTAGGTAAGAATCTAGTGTAACGTACACTCATTACATAAGATGTTGTCAATTGCTATGTTGACAACATACACATGATGTACAACTATATTAAAAGAGCCACATCAATCTATACACGAGGTTCATAAGAACCACCACCTTTGTTGAGTCAGTTTTCAGCTCCTGCTTTGGAATAGACATATTTTAAGCTTAATAAGTACTAACAACAAGAGGTAGTTCAACACAATGTACGATGATTGGCACATCAAACCCTTCCATCATCTACACTCTTAAAGTTAAAGTACATTTGCCTTGATAAAGTATAAGCTAGTACCTAACTTGTTCTTTAAACAAAGTAGACTGAACCGCTGTATTGCTCAGTATTACCTGGCTCCTAAAACTTCTCGTTCTGAACATACACTGCCTGGGCAAAAACAAGTAGTCACCTGGATTTAACTACGCAAATAGGTACGAGCCTCCTGTTGGATAATTACTGCATGTGACGATTATCTTTCAGCTGCAACAAGTTATTTAACCCCAGCTGGTGCAATGAGTTGTTTCTCATTTTTTAAACAACCACGTTGAAAGACATCGCGTGGTCGTGGAAAAGATGTCAGTCTGTTTGAGAAGGATCAAATCATTGGCATCAAGCAGAGAAAACATCTAAGATATTGCAGAAACTACTAAAATTAGGTTAAGAACTGTCCAACGCATTATTAAAAACTGGAAGGATAGTGGCGACCCATCGTCCTCGAGGAAGAAATGTGGCCAGAAAAAAACTGTGGCCTACTGTACAAGCCTGTGGGGGCAGTCTATG